TGTTATAACAAAAAAAATCAACAAGAATATATTAGAGGGGCTGGAGAGATGGCTTGGCAGTTAAAAGCACAGGCTGCTCTTCCAAAGTCCTTAGGTTCAATTCCTAGCACCCACATGGCAGCTCACACAACCTTCTTTAACTCCAGCTCCAGGGCATCTAATACCCATTTCTGGTATTCATGGGTACCAGGCACACACATGACGCAGACATACAGGTAGCTAAACATTCATGCACGGGAAATAAAAATAATAATAAAAAAGAATCTACTTAAGCTCCAGCAGTCCTTAAGTCTATTCTTGTGGATAAAATGGAAAATCAGATTGTTTTCACTCACTGAAGATAGTGCTATAGAGACCTGCCTCTCATCCCTAACAGTAAGTATGGCTAATGGGCAACAGAACTCGAATTCCAGCAGAAGGAAATATTGCAAGTAATTAGGGCCACCCTATTATTCCCATTTTTCCGTATCTGCTTTTAGCATGGTATGTCTATATATGGTAAGTCACATGAGTTACCAGGTTTCCTGATAAAGTCTGTCAACTGAACCATTACCATGGTGTTCAAACTTTGCTTTTACCCCGAGATATTTCCTGTTCTCTATTATTTGTCACAGACTTTTTAATTGTCTTATAATAATAATATTAGTCTTAAGACATTTAGCATTAGCCACATCAGTAATGTGTAAATGGTACTAGAGTTGAGTTCCCAGACAAAATGTGAGGAGTTAAGCTGTTATTCTTGAAAACTTTCAGGACCTTGCCCCATACACAAATATACTGGGAGTCCCAAGGACAATAGGAAGTGAGTCATCTTTACTAGTTATTTCACAAATGATTCAACTAGACCTCTGAATCTAACACGTCAGTTTGGAGAAGGTCGGCAGTTTTGGAAAGTGAATCATAGCTTTGGGAATTTGGTTAGTTGTATGTATAAGTTCCAAGTTGGGATGTAAGTACATATTAGAACCCAAGTTCATAGCATGGCATGTAAGTTCAAAGATCACTAAGTTTAGCCTGGTGTTGGTGGTGCACGCCTTTAGTCCTGGCACTAGGGAGGCAGAGGCAGGTGGATCTCTGTGAGTTCGAGGCCAGCCTGGTGTACAAAGCTACACAGAGAAACCCTGTCTTGAAAAAAAAAAAAAAAAAAAAAAAAACCCCACCACCACCAACAAAAAAAACAACCCACTAACTTTAGTTGAGGTACTTTCAAGTCAAGAATTTAGATCCAAAGTAATTGCTGAGTAGAGTTATTGGAGAATCCTCTACCTTCAGAAAACCAAATGATTCCTAAAACTTCCGGTATTTCAGTGAATGTATGAATTATCTGACACCCCACCCCAATCACATCACGATCTATGATCTATATTGCTATTATAAACTTAAGCATTCCCTTCCTTCTTCTCACAAATAGGGGACCACAGTACTCTGTCACCAAGCAGAAATGGTGTACTTAGGAGCAGAAATGGTATACTTAGGATTCCATATGTGGTAATAATTAAGCAGGGTTCATGGGATGTTTACCTCCATAGAGCACACCAAGGGTACCATAACCTTCCTGAAACATCCTCTATTATTTTAGCACCCATGTTAACAAATCTGAGCCAACCCAATCCTGAGCCTACCATTAGAGAGAAAACTTATGAATGCATGGAATTGGAAATGTCAGGCATTGGTTCAGATAAGAAGACTTACTGTCAGCTACCATTTCATTTCATGGGTTATGTTTAATTGAATATCATAGAAAAAACACAAGAATTGCATATAATACCATCCATTTGGCATATCCAAATGCATATGAACACACCATGACCTGAAGCAGAAATTATGTTTACCTGAGATTTGAAATAGTAGCAAAAGTAGAATAAAAAGATTGAGCTACATTATACTGCAATGGCAACCTACAGATTGCAAACATCATTTACACTAAAATCTTATTGAACAGAACCAATTGTACAGCCTATCCAACCATAATCTAATCACACAAATAGACCAAGACATGATTTGACAATTAGCACTACTAATGTTGTTTGGGATCTGGGCGGTAGAAATACTGTTTTGGCAAATTGTTCTACCTACCAGAAAAAGTCATTTTGTGTGAAGAATATGTCTGAGGTGAAAGCAGGCAAGTTAGTT